AAAAAAAAAAAAAATAAAATAATATATGTGTGTGTGTGTGTGTGTGTGTGTGTGTGTGTGTGTGTTCACAATAGCGCTGATCAAAAATTCAATTTTTGGTTGGAAAAAACAATATGACTGATATAAGTAGTACAAGCAAAGAATTAGTTCGATGTGTTAATCAAAATATTTTGCCACTGTTTGAAAAATTGTTTCCTCTTTTAGAAATAATAGAATAAAATAGAATAATCGGATCGCTTCGTTCAATGTTGATACCAACTTCGTGATTGATCACGATTACTTTTCCTGTTTAGTAAAAACGCGATTAGCAATGAAGGAGCGAAGCTCCCCGTTGAAATAAATCCTTAATCAAACGGCAATGCCTGCCGTTCTCGTGGGCAACATGTCTCGTGGGCTGTAAGTTTTCGAATGAAAAAGTTCCGGGTGGAAGTCAGTATCCATTACGGGCGCAGCGACTTTGACCGCACGACAACGCGGCTCATAAGGGTATGTTCATTGGTCAGCGGATGTATATATTAAGACGTGTCCGGCGCACTTGTCGCAGGGTGGGGACAGGGGGCTAACAAATGTCTCTCCTGAATCGTTTGACCCCTTGGTAAGTTCAACCCCCTCAGGAAACTAAATCTCGAATCCAGGTCCGTTTCAGCCCCCGCCCTAGCCGCACGTTTATGGAAGGACGGACGGTCCGCTGCAACGTAGGCGACCGCATTCTCGGGGAGGGAACTAATCAGCAAATTCGTGTTCTAAATCTAAATCGCCGTCCGAATATTAATTCGAGGCCGGTCTCTCCTACCGCCATCGCCATCGCCACCGCTACCGCCGCCGCCGCCGCCGCCGCCGCCGCCGCCGGTTTCTGCCCCCGTCTGTCTGCCCCGCATGCACGGTTTCTTGGTCTCGCTCACTCGTTCCTCATCGGTTTTGCGATACAAGCAGTGCCGTACCTACGCCACAGACATTCCTGATTTGTGGCACCCGACTGGCGCCTAAGCGAGATATTTACCAGCGACGTTCGGAGAAATGAAACAACGAGCAGCACCGTGCCACTTGCGTTTTTTTAGAATCAGCTTCAATCCGGCGCGTAAAGCCACTTCTTGGAAGATAATCGCGATTTACGCAATTGTCGATACGCGGCTCGAGGACAGATCTCGTCTTTCAACTTTTATTTTTCTCCGTTGGAAATTATTGTCAATGGCATCGATTATACATGAAGAAATAAATGTGAAGATCTTAAATTAAATTAGGAAAGATATGCGACATGACAGTTGTGATTTTGAATCAAAGACTCAATGGAAGAATAGAAATCCATAATTTATAAGGTTCGCTTAAAGCAGACTTGAAGCAGATTTTACAAATCACGAAGTGAATCTTATAAATAACCCACCATTTGGCTTACAGATCATAAGCTTTGATTGCTTCAAGTTTGATATTCGCGAGATCCAACTAGCGAATAAGATGTCTTATGTTGAGATGCGGATTTTGCTTTGCCGAGGCAACTAACTTCCCCTCCTCCTTTCCCGCTTAGATTTTCCAGCATCACCGTCGTCATCGAGTCGGTCGGAGGAGCACGGAGGCGCAGAGGGTGGTATTCAATCGCGTCACCTCCGGTTCTGTCAACTGGCGAACGGGCGGTCTGCGATGGGGGGAGGGGAGTATCGGGGGGTGGCCGGGTGATTGATACGAGGTTGGACGGTGCCTAATGTGCCTCCACGATCGAGGGAGACGGTGGACAGAAGGGGAAAAAAGAGAGCGGGAAAAGGGGATCTTTGGAGGCTTTAAGAGTAGCACGATCGTCCGGCTAGGACTCGTTAGTCAGGGCCGTATCAGTCACCAAAAGCAACCCCCATTTTTTGCGCTTGGCAATCCGTCCCTCTCCCTTTTGCGCCCATCCCGAGACCCTTCATGTCCGCAAAGCGCGCCCTCAAAATAAGCTGGATCACTTGTTTGTCGGCTTCTCCTCGCGGTCTTGAATATCATCGGCATCGGAAAAGTAAACGATCATAAGGAGATAAATTGGTAAAAATTGGCGCTTGTGAAAGTAAAAATGCATTAAATATATTAAAAAATTTTTCAGAAACTTTATACATACGAATCTAATACGCATCATTATCCCGATACGTACCGCGAGGAGAAGCCGAATTATGGATCATTTGTTCACAAAAATCGTCGTTTTAACCCTAAACATCTCCATTTGCCTGACGGTCTTGTCGGTGTCCCGATCATTCGTGATACCGGCCATTCGATTCGCCGTCAACGAGAGGCAGGGTCTTTGCAATTCAGATGTTGTCGTCGGCGGCAGCGGCGACGACGGCAGCGGCGACGGCGGCCGCGTAGCTTCCCGTCGTTCTAAAGGAATCGAAGGAGCGCCTTGACAAATGCCCCGGAAAAAAAAGGTGGCGCACTCGCGACCGGGAGACGGACAAGACAATGGGATGTTTAGAGATCCCGGTCCTTCGCGCACACGATAAACGCCGCGCGGTCTCGGTGGCCAACACGAGGCGGGACGTGAGCGTCGTACCCCTTCTCGCATCACCGGTCCCCCGGGTGTTACCGTCGGAACCCAATTTGCCTGCCAGACGGCCGACAAGGATCGCTGGTCTGAGAAAGCGCCATGACACGTGCCCGAAGAAACTTGAATGAAGATCGCTCCTCGGGACGCACGCACGCGCGTACGCACGCACGCACGCACGCTCCTTTTTTTCATTCCGATTTCTTCTCCCAAATTTGCAGGAGTATTTTTATTTTCGCCAGATTGTCTCTTAAAATTTATAAAATTCGTAAAATTTATAAAAAAAAAATTTACCTATATGCAATTGGAAACGAGAAGATCGAATGAGAATCGACGAAACGAAAGCGTCGAAGGAGTAAACACCCCCCCCGAAGACGGCACACCGCGTGAAACAGGGGGCGAGAAACTTCTGAGAGGGCCATTTGCGGCCGTCTCACCCACCGTATCTCCGGCGTGGCGTTGCTTTTTCTGCCAGTTAATTTTCAGGATACTTCTTAATTATAATGAGACACTTTGGGGCCTGGAGGAGAAGCCAACTGAGAAGATGGGAACGGAGGGGGATTTATGTAAATCGGCGGCTAATGTCTTCTGGCATTATTCCTTGGGTTAGGTTGGGAAAGAGGCGGAGTAGGAAGCTCATGGTAGCGACACACACGTACGTCCTCCGTCTATCTGTATAAGATATATTGCTGAACGCGATCCCGACCGAGCGTAACTTTTATATCACGGTTATTATCGGTGAATATCTGACGCATGTGCGTCAGAGAGAAGTCGTTCGACAACAAAGTTCCGCGAATCGAAAAAAAAAAATAAATAAATCCACGGTATAGCGGTATATCGTGACATTTAAGAGTATAGCTGAAATCATCTTGCGGTCTACAGCTTGAACAATCCAATGAGCAATCCGTCGCAGTCTTTTATCCCTCGCTCTACAAAAAAAGTATATACTCACCGGGATCCGTCTGATAGTCATCGCCAATCTTCTTTATAATAATGGGATAGTCGGCTTCGTAAAACTGCATGAGCTTCGTCCATTCCTCCGCAGTTACTATACTATACCTGCAACAATTAGATAATGTTCCGCTGCAATTCTGATCAGGAGGCAAACTTGCACGGTAAAGCTTTTGATATTTATAACGAAGTATCCATAGAAACACGGGGGGGAAGGGGGGGGGAAGAGAGAGAGAGAGAGAGAGAGAGAGAGAGAGAGAGAGAGAGAGAGAAAGAGAAAGCGCGATTGGACGAGAGACGTATTTGCAAGATGGAATTTGCGATTTTCCGACAACGCCGTAGAATCCGTAATGCTTTTTGCATCGTCTCCCTTAATTATACCGCAAATTAGAAATTTCTTGCTGTGCCACGGCTCCAGCTTTTTGCCCTTGCAATTGTTCGCTCGATCCTGGCATGGTTCCTGAACCCCATATCGCGAGAGAATCTCACGTTAGTATGCAATCAATAATATTTCGCGAACTGTCGCGCTATTAATATCCGTAATTTTGGAACTGTCTATTCTCGGAATAGCGCCGGGAATATACGTAGATCGCGAGTTATCGTTAATTAAACGAATGAAATTTCCATCATCATCATTACAGCTTACACATTGCAATTTTCGATTAACAATATTCGTCAGCAGACTCATTCGTTCTTCGCAAGATTTGCATCTTGTGATGACTGATCCATAATAAATTTTTGTAGAAAAAAAAAAAAGAAAAGAAAAATAATAATAAAAGGCATATGTCAATGATCGATCAATCAAACATGATTAAGATGATCGCGCGCGCATATAGATGGTAATCGACACGATCGTTTGTCCCTCGGTAGAACGGTGGACGATTATACAGCGACGCGATTCGCGATACGAAAGCGAAAGAGAGGCCCGACGGTACGAAACGATGATGACTCGACCGATAATTAGTTGCGCGACATTAATTTCGATTCAGCGCAATATGCCGCGCGGTCTCATTTGAATTTTCACGGGGGCAAAAACGCGCGGACGAGCTTGTCGTCGCTCCTGTGTATTTGCCTAACGCCCGAATAATGGTGGATGCATCGAGGAGAGACGATGAAAGGCGGAGAAGAGGGGAGAAATCAAAGTAGAAAAAATATATACTAGCCGGGCTACGCAGCGTTTCGCGAATTTCCCTCTCTCTTTCCGTGCATGTTTTTCCCGCGCCATCTTCAACCTGAATAATAACGCGATCTTATATCTCTGATGTAGAAAAAAATTATATATAGACCTTACGAAATATATTGCCAGGTATTCAAAATTGTATAAAGTACCGAACAGGATAAAATAATGTAGCGATTAATAACTAAAACATTAATACGAATTTATGTACTGAAAGTTAAAAGCTTTACGAAAAAGTTTTGAGTAATCCGCTTTTTGTCAAGTCTCCAATAGATCTCTATACATCGCATTATATTTAAACTGACTACACTTTTAGATTTACACAAAGTGTAAAGATTATTATATTACGTGGGAGGAAACAGTGAATATTCGCAATAGATACCAGAATCACTGTCGGGAGAAAGGGGAGGCGAGAAAGGGACAAGATGGCAAAAATGATTTTTTAACGGTCTCACCGTCGAGGCGGAGGAAAAGCAGACGACTTAAGCCGCCGGCTATCTTAGGCAGATAGTGGACAATGGTTTAGCATAATGGTCGGGGGATGTTGGATGGCGCGTTGGCCCCGGGGGCGTGCGAGTGACATTTTCGCGTATCCATCACGTCACGGGGGCCGAGGAACGAGAACGGAGGCAAGGAGAAGGAGAGAAAGGCGTGCCAGGAGGTCACGCACTTTCGCTTTATAATATAGTGTCCTTCGAGAAATTCCCGCCGAGGAAAATATCCGAAACCTCGGAGAGCTACTCTCCGTGTCCCTCGAGCGATCGACTTCATTCCCCCCCTCTCCCTCCCCCCCCCTCCTCGAAATACGATTCTCCTCTATGGGCTTCGCGCGCGGGTGTAACGAGGCGTGTAACGTGTATCTCAAACAGATATGTCCTCCGAAAGATATACAGCGGGTACTTACAGTTCGTGATTAATTTTGGGCGGATGTAGGAATCCTTTATGCGCTTCGCAGAGAAGCGATGCGTTCTGGATGCCTGCCGGTGGTGTTCTCGAATAGATTTCTGCGTATCTGAAACCGAGAAATGTACACGAGTACGTTAACTAACTGTTAAACTAAATGACACTATTGTCAATATCACGTTACATACGGTAAATAACGCGTTTTACAAATACGATAATAAGATAAGGTATAATCCTTGATATTTGTCTTATAAATCCTTACAACGAATAATATTCTACTCTTATAATTTAAATAATTTTCGTAGAATGCATGTGCTTCCGAGTTTGGTTGCTCGTGTGACAAAAATTCTCTGTCGCTGCGAGCGAGTTAAATGTTCTCGATAATGCGAGCCCGCCCGTGACATTTTACGGATTACGAACCAGAAAGACGACAACGAGAACGACGACGACGGCGAACGTTTCCTTCGGGACTTTCCGGAGGTGATGTTTAGGGGACGGGGTTGTGCATCATTTTTCACATACCACAAGGGGGCGGATGGTTTTTGCCATCCCCCTGGCCGACGACCATCCAGATAATGCTCTTAAAGACGGATATCTCTCGCGAAACGAGCCAGGTACGCTGTCATACGACTCTACCATGGGAATAGACGGAGCTCTCTTTAAATTTGTGATGCCGAAAAATCAGATTTACAAATCAAACACAACTTTGATAAAAAAAAATCGCAAATTAACTTTATTATTTTACTCAAATTAATTAAAAAGTAAATTTCAAAATATTTAACGCAGATACCGCAACTAATTTGAAATTCTAAAAAAAGGGGAAAAAGTGTTTAGTCAAAGCAAACCAGATGTTAAATAATTATTTTGTTAAATTATAATAATTATAAAATATAAAAGAACACAGATTCATGATTCCACTTGTTCATATATTTTTAGAATTAATCTAAGCAACAGAAATGAACAAAGTTGTCAGCGAAAACGTAGAGAGAGGATGATTTCCTACGGTCCGCAAAGGAAAATAGGATGAAAAATATCGGAGATATATCGGAGTAGCCAGTCGGAGAACTCGTGAGGTATCGACGCGCTTTGCGGAAAGGCGAGCCACCCGAAGCCGTAGTTTAAAAATGTCCCTTTCCCCACGTACCCCGAGCACCCCGAGCACCCCGGGCGCGCGTTTTCCAGAAGCGAATGCGCGTATTAATTATGAGCCTTGTTCAAACAGTAGAAACAGAGGAACGTCGCGCGCGGCAGGAGCGAACGGAGCCGCGGAGGGTGGTGGTCACCCTTATTACGGTCGAAGCTGGGTCGAACACCCCCCCCGGTTTCTATGTCCCTCCGTTTCTCTCTTTCTCTTCCCGTTTTCTCTTTCTCTCCCGTCTGCGTCCCCCAGCTTTTTATTTCTGCTTCGAGGCTTTGTTTAACTTCTGTCGCGAAATTTTTCCGCCCCGCAACGATTATTGCTCCCCGGAGATCGCGGAGATGGAGGAGGAAAACAGGATTCGGTTTGCGGCTTTCCTGCCTTCGAACGACGAAGGGATGCGACGTATCGGACACGTAGCTGCGCGCTTGGAAAAGCGTTCGGAAAAAATAGGTATCTTCGGTAAAGAATTAAAGTCGAGTTAGTTTCACTAGCTTGTGAATCATCACGTCTTCCTTATACTTGTAACAAAAAAAAAAAAAAAAAACGAAAGAGAGAAATAAGAATAGAGAATAGAGAACTACGAGCAAAAACGTGCGAGTTTGGCGAGCCCAGGAATGTCGGTTATACTTGAGCAATTATAGCTGCTCCTGACACACGGAGAACAGTCATGGTGAATTGTTAGTCGACTTCGGTAGCGAAAGAATTAACGAAGGCGTTGGTACAGCAGCGGCAAGGTCCGAACGAACGAGTTACGGATCGTTCGACGGAGAAAAACAGTCGAGCCGAGTCATTGTGGTTGGCAACTTATTGTTCGATACCGGTGCATAATATCCTGTTCTATGCACGAACGAACCTAGTGACAGCATCATTGTGGATGGCCTTAATCAACCGAGACGACCGAACCTCGCGCGGTAGTGGGCCAGTCCTTGCAAAAGAAAATGAATCATTACACGGATACAATCCAAGATTATAATAATGCAAGAAAATATGCCGAGGAAAGTGTAGATGAAAGAAGTTTTGACACGATTCATTAGTGCAATTAAATGTCGACGGAAATTTCTTTTTTTTTTTTAATTTATTTTTATAATGTTATTTCCTACATTCCGTAAAAAAATAATACGAAATGTGTATTTTGTAGTGCAAATAGTATCAGAAATATTGTACAATCTGATGATTTTGATCAAGAAAAGGGTATTGAAAAACACAAAGGGTATTGAAAAAACACATTATTTTACGTGATTTAATTTTATATTTTAATTTCTATTTATATTTTCTGTAATTTATATATTTTTTCCCATTTTTTTCTACATGAGTTTCTAATATTAATCCAAATCTCTCCAAATCTCTCATCATGAATGCAGCTTTATCTCGCTTTGATTCTACTCTCATCTTTCTGTTCGTGCGCGCCAAGAAAAATTCGTTTCGATATAATCCGTCTTTCTCTCGTCTGGCCTTCCTTTCGCTCCTCGCGCGATCGTTCGCGATCAACGAAACGAACCGCCTTTCATCCCGCTCCTTCTCGCGCGCGCATTCCTCTCCAGCAGAAATAAATCTTATGTTTTCGCGTATAAGCGGCCTTTTAATATCACCACCCTTGATTTACCGCCGCAGACCGTGCATCTCCACGCGTAAGAGAGGCCGAGAGCCAAGCTCCCCGCATGTTCCGCTGACATTTGTCTTCCGGGCAACCCCGAGAGCCAAAACGAGTGTCCCTAGGCTTTCCCTGATTTAGCGCTTCTCCCGTCAGTATTTGACTAGATGATTCTCGATCTCTTCGGAGAGATTACCGCTCTTGTCAACGAATTATTGGCCGCGTTCGGGGAGACGAACTAATGGATCGAGACAGGAACGCTTACATCAATCGAAGAAGACTGATTTACGTTTAATAAATTTATCAAGCGTTAAATTTCAGTAAATATTGCAATAAATAGAGCTATAATTTAAACTGTAAAAAAAATAATTGGAACTATAAGGTTAATTATCCAGAGTTTGCACTTCATTATATTCTATTGTTGCAATTCCATATATACGGTTTCATGTATATTTATTTATTATTCATTATCCTTAACAAAAAAGCTGAAGAAACGCATTTCTCAATCTTTATACTTGCAATATCGAGAATAAAATGTCAACAAGATACGACGAAGGATAGACGGACGCGCAGCAAGATGCATCCTACGCGCCCGTTGCAGCATCCGGTTATGCAGCTCCGGACGCCGAGTGCATTGGAGCGTTGCGGTCATTACAAGAGGGCCCCTACGTGTCCGTGGTAAAAGGTCCTCGGTGTGTCCGAGTATTAAAAAAGGATCCCAAAAGAGAGAGAGAGAGAGAGAGAGAGAGAGAGAGAGAGCCAGTCGTCAGATAGATGGCGAAAGAGCGGGAGAAGCGGGAGAGTGTGAGAGGGAAGGGGGGAAGGGTAGAGCAAGAGAAAAACAATGTTGCTGCCGGTTACCGCGGGACACTCGGGGAAAATAAGAGAACAACATTGCGAGCCCGCGTATGTCCACGCTGATCATGAGAAACGAACCGACGCGACGAGACAAACCGTTGATGTACATCAACGGACTTTTCCGTCGCTCGAATATCCTCCGTCAGATCCGGCAGACTTTAAGTTTCCGGCGGACGCGCACGTAAATATCGATTTTGCGAAAAATAAGGCAAGGCAAGTACAGCAAAGGAAATGTTCTCGGAGAGAAGCAAGAAGCAAGGAAAAATATATAGGTATTTTTCAGTAAAATCGTAAAAGAAAATAAAAATAAAGATTATAATGTCCTACATACTCCGTAATAAATTTCAAATTTTCTACGGACGGTCCGAAGTAAGGCTAAGTACTATCGCAGATGTTATTAATTGCCTCCTTTCGATCGTCGATTTGCGCGATCGAGCGATACTTAAATTATTAACGCGTGAAAAGATGAAAGTATCGCAGGCGTTCGGTATTTCGTTCGTAATGATCGATGATGATGCGTAACTGTTACGATTTCGTTTCGAAGATACAAACGTAACAAAAGAAAAAAATAATAGCACGGGTTATTGCAAAAGCTAGCATGACTTCGACGTATGTCCAGGAGGTCCAGGTAGTGATTTAATGCAGAGCATTCCAACCCAAGTTCGTGACGCGCCCGCGGCATGAAGAACCGATCCTCACTTCTCCACCATCGCTTAGGTATTTACAAACTTCGCTTGTAACGAGGCTTCGTTAACGGTACGGGAAGCAATAATCGCGCGAATTGCATAGTCAACGCGCATTCCACGAGCTACTTGGTTCGAAAAGCGAGAAGGGAAGAAGCAACATTTTTGGAAATCGCGATTTAAAACTCGAAAGTGTAACAACGCCTTAGGATCTCTGAAAGAAAAATTTAAAACAAAAGAACGATAACATTTCCAAAAAAACAACGGATCTGAAGATAACTCTCTAACGGGGAAATATGAATTTCAGATTGAAAAGAAAATTTAAAGAAGAGTAAAGAAACATTTAGATCCCTGTCGTCTTACACGTTTTTCCCTCTCCCGTAATTCTCGGAAGGAGGAAAGCGCGTCATCATCATCACAACTCCGGGCTGTCCGATCGCCAAAGGAAATGCTCGAACCTTCGTTAAGCAATCTTGGAGTCGGTGCCGCGCGACCGCTGAAATCGCCCGAGATCGAAAGAGGCGAGCAGCACGGCGGCATAATACCGCGAAGAACGAGGATGCGAGAGGTGCGAGAGAGAGAGAGAGAGAGAGAGAGAGAGAGAGGACGG